TTCCATGAAATATATGGTTAAAATTTAATGCTGACTTTGAATTGAGATTTTAATCCAAAACAAACAGGGGCTAAGTGACCAATGTACGAGGGATTTTAGCTTATCATATTCGGATTATGTTATGGATCACATAACGATGTAATATTATATGGGTCAACTAAGAGAATGTAAGACCAATTAATATGGCCCAAATAATATTATTAATGATTTAATTAAAGTGATTTATTATTGCTAGAATCCTATTAGCTTATAAAGAAGTCGCAATTTTATAACTATCCACTTTGATAGAAAGTGGGTATTTATTTTTATGGCCTATGAAACTGTCTTTCTCTGTCTATAAATGTGAATGAAATTCATTAAATAAAAAGATTCAATTAAAGGGATAGAACATTTTCTTTATTTTTACTAATTTCTCTTTTACAGATTTAATCAATTAAATTTATATGTAAAAATATAAAAATCATGAATTCTAAAAATTTTGATCTTATGGTTTAATTGCTTACATAAAATCCATACCTCGGAGACTGAGCTTGCTCTATGGAATATTTGAAATCACATAGTTGTAGAAATGGGGGCATGAGATCGAGAGGTACCTCGAAAAATCCAGAATAGCGAAATAATATTAAAGCCTACAAGTTCCAGAGGGATGAAATGGGAAGAAGCCACCATATAGTATGATTCCTTCTTGTGACGAAGACTGCATAAGGCTGACCAACATGAATGTCAAGACTTTCATTGTACTATTTTGATGTGTGCACTCCTTCACTCTCCACCGAAGCAATTACATGGTCCTGAACTCTGAAGTTCAAAGTTGAATTCAAAGTTCAAATCCACATTGAGGGTTTTTAGCCTATATGTAGCTCCTAAAGAGAAATGTCATTAGTATCAGGACTTGCATGAGATTTCCTTTTAGAATCAAACATTTTTCCAAATACTGAATCCCACAATATTATATTTCCATCAGAAACATCTCTGCTCAAATGATTCAGAGTCTGTAAAAATATCTTCTGTTGTCATAAGAAGCTATCACCAAGGTTTTTTACTGTACGATACAATTTAAATACAACGGTAAAGGCAACTCACCAGCTTCAAAATCAAGCAAAATCAAGAGTTGCTTGATTTTTCCTAGTCCATTGATGAAAATTCCATCTGGTAAGAGCAACACACGTCCTTCATCCAATCTTTTAATCACAAATTGAAACTATTAGTAAAAATTAATGTCAGAAGATTAATTAAGGAAATAGTTGACAGATGAAAAAAAAAAAAAAATAGGGAACAGAAAAAGTAAAAATTAAATTTTGATGCCTCATCCTGCGGGATCCAATCATTGATCATGTTGTAGCAAACTAACAAACCATCTTAGGTCCACGTTCACCTAACGTGCTTATCTGACTTAACTGAGGCCATCAAACAGAGAAAGCCGAAGTTATGCTATCACCTCAACTGAAACGCCATGCTGAGGTCGAACATTTATGGTCGAGGCAAGGTGCCACGATCTGCTATAGTTTATTTCGAAGCAAAGAGCTCTAGATAACTAGATTCCACTAAGGCATATTCCTAGTTTTACCTCTTTCAAGAGATCTTTCGTACAAGATCCTCTGCACGATTAATTGATGTGATATATCTACATCAGATGCTCTTACTCAATTTGTCAATCTACCTTTTTAGATGTCGGACCTATGTTATTAGGATGATGCCTCGATCGTCAAGATGTGGTCACTTCTATTTTATCCAACGATAGTCACTTCACCTCTTCCACAGTAAAAACTCATATTTAATGTCATTTACAACTAATGCAATTTTGAACTCTCTACTATTCTTGCTTATTATTTCCTCTCTATAACTCCATGCCCGTACAAATACTGGAAGCTTATGTCTTCCATTCATCCCACACTCAAATACAAGTTGATTGGCTTCATTGTTGGAGTGCTAAGAGTTACCTCCCTCACCATCGAAAGCTAGTACTTCAAAGATTTGTTCAAGTTTGCAGGAGTCCTACACATAGACATGAGTGAAGTGGGGATATGTTGGTCATATATGCTAGTCAAAAATCAAAGTCAACCCAAATGTTTTTTCAATTTCACGTTGAATAAATTGAATAAATGCTATTAATCAAAATTAACAAAATGGAGTTTTTCTTTTTGTTTCTAAAAAAGCGCAACAAATTTAAGGACATCCACTAATATCCTTAAATGAGATCCAATATTTTCAATTTCAGTTTCATGTTAAAAAAAAAATTTAAAATTAAGGACAAAAGGTGAATCAAATGTTTCCTGAATTTTATATTATTTTTAGTTTAAAATTTTTTTAATTTCATGAATGGGCCTCACAAACTACAATTCAAAGGCCATAGAGAAATATTGAATGACATGTTCTTTTTATGGATACACTTCTCTCAAATGATTTCATAAACTTTCAATGTGAGATAATGCCTTTTTATAGATGCACTTCTAACCAATGGTTTCATAAACTTCTAATGTGGGATAATATCATAACAAAAAAATTGTTAAAATGCTCATCAAAATCATTTTCCAAATGTATGTATAATGGACTAATTTGATTTTGAATCCTAACTAGCTAAATTGTAATATCCAGCTTCATCTTTTTATTTATTTAATTTTCAAATTTAAATTAAATTGCACTTGATAATTAATATATTAATGTTAGATATCATTTTCTGTAAGTTTAAATTATTTTAATTTAACAAAGCTAACTATTTTAACATATTGGATTTTAATTTTTGAAGTATCAAAACTGATTGTAGGATAATGAATTTAATAAATAAAGACAGATATATATATATATATATAACCCTTGACTCTTAACCTTTTCCTGATCAATGATTGGGTCGATTTTTAAAACATTGATTTTAATTTATATTTAATTTAAGTGTAATATTACTTATACATAATTATTTACAGATTGATGAACACTGATAGATGAAAACAGTTTGAAAGAGAGAAAAAGATAAAAAAAAAAAAAAAAAAAAGGGGGAAAAGGAAATAAATTAGATTTTAATATACCTCATGTCATCAATTTGTACATCGATCTGTAAATGATTATGTACACATATGATTACTATTAATTTAATATTAGTAGCTCATAGGATTGGAGGTATCAAGACTTAGCTCTTGTTTGAGCCCCATTATTTGATAAAAATAGATTGTGAAATAGTGATTTTTTGGAGAAAATGTGGTTGAAAAATAAGAAAAAGTTTTAAGTTTGCACGTAATATTATTTTATTAAGAGAATATGTAATTGAAAATGAGTTTGAATAAAAATGTACTATCGACAAATGGGATTCAAACAAGGGCTTAAATTTTTATCTTAAAATGTTAAATTTATTAAGAGGAGTAGTCCAAACTTTCATCTTTATTCGACTTAGAACCATTAGCATGTTTCATAAGATTGTGTTTCTTGACAACACAAATCTTGAAATTCGATTATTCATTTCTGCTTTAAATAGATCGATTTCTTCATTGAAGTTTAATGAGATTTGATGCCACCTCAAAACTCAAATAGTTTAAAATTTTAACATTGTGAAGATGAGTAACGTAATCATTCATGTATTATATATTTATTTCATCTTCATTCGACGTGATATTTACCACAATATAGAGTACGTCATGATGAATTATGCTGTCAAGTTGGAATCCCCTATTCAATCACAACTGGTTCAGAAGGGAATTTATCTTGTATAATGATAGGTGTACAAAAGAATTTTTACAGAATAATTACAAAAGTCTCACAATGTTGTGGGTTTTATATGAATAAATAATGTCAAAAAATTACTCACCCACCCCCAAATGTGAGGTATCGGTAGGTGTTTACAGAACCCATACCCGTACACCAATCACAACTCATTTATCTTTCACTCTAAGAAGCAAATATGAATAAAAATAGCGGATCAAAAGTAATGAAGTACGAGTAATACAAATTCGACTATTTCTTTATTCAAGAAAAAGTATATCTAATTTGCATGGTCTGATTATTGATCCAAAAAATTTTACATTTTATATATAAGCCATGTTCATAGAGTTAAGCCCTTGTTTGAGTTTCATTTTAATGAGATTTCAAGAGAAAATACATTTTGGAAGAGTAATTTTTTGAAAAATGTGATTAAAAAGAAGGAAAAAATTTTGATTTTACATGTAATATTATTTTGTTGAAAAGATTAAAAATGTATTGAAATTAAAATGGAATCCAAGCAATGGCTTCAATGAAATTAATTACACAAAATAGTTGAAATTCAAAAATATATTGTTCCACTTCCAGCATTATAGCATAGTCAATGGGTTTTGTTCTTTTTCGTAAAAAATAAAAAGAATTTACTCAACAGCCTCGTCACATGGATCAAGACGGTGATGCACATGGTATGTCGACCGACCACCTGCAGAATTGTTCATAATTAAGCAGCAAGGCTTCTTCGAACTAATACATTTCAATAATTTAACTAGAATTCATCGAGATTCATAAGTTGATTGATTATAAATTCGAATTGCATTAATTTCGATAAATCTGAAAAAATATGTAACTTTCCTTGAAATATTTCAAAAACTAAAATTAAGTTAGTATGATCTCAAAATTATTGAAGGTTTTTCTCCAATGCCAGAGTTTCAATTCTCAACAACATATATAGAGTGTTGTCCGATTTTCACAGGTTAAGCTTTAACGGTTACGATATTGGATAGAAGAGCTTGCATTGGAGGAAAATTGTTCTGATTTTCGAAAATTCATTTTCAACCATGTATTTTATTAGATTCACTACTTTATCGACTTTTAACAATAATTTTTATCAAAATCTATTAAAATTTGATTTTAACCGTAGAAAAGTATTATTTTCGATTTTGAATCCCTTATTAACTTATAAGTCAATATTTTAAGCTTAACAAAAGATGCTGTCGTGTACGATTGAGCAACTCACATAGTAGATGCTTAGATATTGTTGAGTCAGCAATCAGCATTTTATCCATATCCTTTCCATACAGTTCACCGCATTGCACAGACTCAACCGCGTATCAAATAGTCCAATCATCAACCCACGTTCGCGGCTCCTCCATAAATAATCCATCCATCTCAGAAACTATTCGTTAAATCCAACCGCAGACAGACACTGATCTCATCATGGCTTCAACATCATTTTCTCTTTCAAATCAAAAAATTCGCTCAACCATTCTACCGCCGTGCACCGCCTCATTCCGCCGCCCTCTTCGTATCTCCGCAACTTGCGCCACCTCTCAGAGGACCTGTAGTTCGAAGATCAGCACTGGCTGTGATCCAAAACAGGGGTCTCTATACGAAGTTTTGGGGATTCAGATTGGTGCTTCGTGTCGAGAAATCAAAACTGCGTATAGAAAATTAGCCAGATGTTTGCATCCGGATGTTGCATCCAACAGTGGAGATGAGTTTATGAGAGTGCATGCGGCTTATGCGACTCTTTCTGACCCGGAGAAGCGTGCGAACTACGATATAGAACTTTTCCATCGTAGACGGCTGACGGTGGTGTCGGCGAGGGGGTATTCTAGCCGGAGCCGGAATTGGGAAACTGACCAGTGCTGGTAACTCAAATTGTGAGATCACTAGCTCAAAATGTAGACAGAAGCGGCAATGGTGGAGGCTGGAGGAACTAACTCACAGGGTACAGTCCATTCTACAGCTACTTCGTGTAGAGATTCTGAAGATTTGAGCAATGCGTAGACGCTGAAAAAAGGCATTATTTTTTGTTCTTTCAAAAAACTTTTTATTTCGCACCGCTACTGTTTTTGTGTGTATATATATAAAAGCTAGTGCTTTTTTTCCTCTTTCCAAACCTTTAATTTCAATTTTGTGCGGCGAAAGGACCTTGGTCGGTGTCGTCGGTCCAAATGACCGTTAGTGATCAAGAACATAAGTCTGACAACAAATTCGGCCAATTTTGAAAGGGTAAAATGATAAATTTACTTTTTTTTTGACATAAAATAATTAAATAAAAGAAACAATAAGGAAAAAATGATAGTTTTCAATAGCTTCAATTGTATGATATTAGTTACCGATAATTCACCCTCTGGCCCCTGCCGATCCAACCACAAGTGAGGGGAAAATGTATAATATATTAAGCTCAAGAAATCCAACAAAAACCAATTCTTATGGTTGTCCTGTATGGGAAAGAAGGTTCACGGGCCCAACTCAAATCAGGTCAAGAAGCGGGATTTTGCATTTTGGTTTGGGAAATATTCATTTCTCTGGTGTAAAGTATTAGCCAATTCAAAATTCTTGCAATAAATTTATATTTTCAAATCTAGGGTGATAACTAAATAATTAAATATAATTTATTAATTAAAATATATTAAGGTCATAGTTATATAATTAATGGTCATAGTTACATAATTTTATAGGTCATAACTTATTTATTTATCACATATTATCAAATTAATTGGCCATAAATTATTTTTTCAGTCACAAATAAAAAATATTATAGACCACAATTTATTGGTCACAAATTACAATTTTTATAGGTCACGACTTATTTAATGGTCACAGATTTTCGAAATAGTTGATCACAAATTATCAAATTTTTATATCACAATTAAATAATTGGTTCCAAATAATCAAATAGTTAGTCACATACACCAAACAGTTCACCCCACCCTCAATTCCAATACATTACCAATACTTGGTCACAAATCAACCATGTAGTTGATCACAAATAACCCTATAGTTAGTCACAAACATTCTTCATCCCTATTCCACCATTGCCGTCTCCACCACCACCATCAACACAACACAATCACCATCGTCATAAAAAACCAACACCAGCATCGTCTTCATCGAACACCACCACCACCTCACCAGCATTGCCAACTTCATCCTCGCCTCGCCATCGTAGCCAACATCACAACCACCACCACCCAACTACAAACACCACCATAATTTGCAAACAGCTTGCACAAACATATCGTCCACCAACAATCACCTACTAAAAACTACCCACACACAGATCAGAAAACCACCCATAGAAAAGAAAACCACCAACAACCTACACACCGATTGGAGAACCTAATTTTTGCTCGTAGCTTCTTCGCCAATTGACTGGAGGAATTTCTCGTAGCAGAGTCGGCCCATCGACTCCCCTGCCATATTGTGCGCAACGACACCTAGAGAAGTCAATCATTACTTTGGAGAAGATGAGTGCTATGGCAACACCATTGCCGCTGCGCACGATGGTTGGCCCTTAGACTCTGTCGAATTGCTAGGTTGTGGGTTGTGCATGTAAGAGTGAGTGAGAGAGGGTGGTGGGTTGTGTGTGTGAAAGTGAGGGAGAGAGGGTGGTGGTTGAGGCATATGTTGAATTAAGTGAGATTTTTAGGGTTGGGGGGTGTGGATCGTGTGATTGTTAGATCAATACCTGATTTCTGAATTAAAAAAGATTCCCACCTGAAATTTGGACTGTGAATTTGTACTACTCAGAACCGTTTAATTTCCTCTTTTGGTTTTGATCACAGGCCCGCACCGCTTTTCAGCCTAAAAAGCCCACAGACTGTGACGGGCATAAATTGGTCCATAATTAGCCATGACAGCCCTCGGGCCTGTTTTACACCTCTAGATATACATATGGTGCTTGTCCATTTGATCCGAAAAGAAGATGAACATGTATTATTTTATCTTGTTAAACATGATTACGTTTTTATCTCTACAATATTAAGCAGAATATACTTGTTTTCACTGAAAAATACAAAGAAATTGAAGAAAAATTTCAACCCTTTATCACAAAAATGACGTTTTCAATTTTCATATTCCCATGGCTTTAAGAATACAGCCATTTCTGATTTCGATAGCAAGATTACAAAATGGCTTCTTATTTTGGTAGATGTCTTCTGTCGAGAAAGGTTAAAGAAGCTGACAACACCTTCTGAATTATTGAACATGGATTGAATAGATGAATATCTCTATCACATTGAACGTTTTTCGTCCCACATTTGGACTTCATTACGAATTTTCGTTTCTTGCTTTCAAATTCCATATGTCAGTGCAAAGGGCATTGAATCGGAAAATATCAAGTCCTAGTCGTCTCCATTTATCGTGCAAAATATAAATGATTTTATCTCTCGAATGAATAGGAAATATCAATTCTTTTGCAACTTGATCCAAAATACATCCATCATTAAAAATTCAAATAGATATGGGACGGGAAGTTTTTTCAAGTAATTAATTAACTTAAATATGAAAGGGAATGAATGTATGACACATAATAACATTCATCCATGTTTGATTTTGCTAAAAAAAAATGATTAAAATCTAAGTCAAAATTAAGAGTTAATTTTAACCACACATTTCATAAAATTCACAATTTTTTAACTACAAATTCCATTAACTTTTATCAAAATTTATTTAAATTTTGATTTTTATCTAAATTAAACAAGGGCTCAATTACAATATTTATAGGAAAAATTACAAAATTTTTTGTTGTAAACTGTCCATATATATGTCTTCACATCTACCATTTAAAATAAGGAAACTTTTTATCATCAAAATATTTTTAAAAAATGCAATTGGAAAAGTAGTTAACATGTAAATAGCATATGCTAAATAAACTATCATATTATAAATGAGTATTGGATATTCTTACTAAGATCCCGTGTAGTCAAATACGACTCTTTATATGCAGTGAAATAGTTTCTGGCATGGCCTATGGATCAAGTGGTGTATTTCCCATAAGCTAAAAAATGAGAATAGAAATGTAATGCTAATTGTATTGCTTGGTACAATCAATTGCTGATATAGAGGGGATCGATCTAGACATGTTCAATTCAATTTTTCTTATATATTTTATAATATTTGCTCAGCATTAAAAAAAAAAAAAAAAATTCTAGTCTAGCTTAATTCTAGTGTACTCGTAATGCATTTTGAGACATATTAGCCACACTATAATTCAATGTATCAAACACACTGTTAAATTATTTTATTTAGAGTTTACAAACATAGTAAAGAAACAATTAATTATTTTACAAACAGTATAAATTGAATATGAGTTGCAAAAGTTGCAACCTTTATGAGTTTAAATTGGCTGCAAAAGCCCATTGCGTGAATGAAACTCCGCATAAGAGTAACTGAGTAAGGGACAACTTTGATGTAACTATCATGACAACCTTGCACTAAAGAATCTCATTTTATTAAGTATGACCCAATCATCCTACTAATTTATTGTGGGATCAATACCTAATTCCTAGTTCTGAAAATTACATTTTATAAATAACAAACTCACTAAAATATTTCAAAAATCAAGTGATAAATAAATTTATTAAATATTAAATTATAATATAATATACATTAATTATTTCCACCCCATGCCACCTCACCCCACTACACTATCTTCCCTTCACATTTCCATAAGAGATGGCCAGCGGCTCTGGTGATCGCTCAACGATTGCTCTAGCTTTGGTGATAGAAAAATTGAGAAAAATAAAAAAAATTCTCTCTGTACTCTACTGTTGAAAAATTTCCAAAAATTTATATGTGACCGTATTTATTGTTCGTGATTATGTTTGTGTTTTATGTGAGTATTTGTGATAAAACTTGTTTTCACTGTGACTGTATATGATCGTCTAATTTGTAATTGTATGTATCCAATTCACTGGCATATGTTATTTGTGATTAACTATGACCAAAGTTATCTTTAAAGTGACTAACTGTGACTAATTTTGTATTTAATGTGACTGTCTGTGACCAGATCAATTTTAACTGCGACCAAGTCACAATTGGTCGCAATCAACAAAAAATTGGTCATAAACAGTTACAACAAATACATACTTGATCACATGGGGTCACCATATAATTTTGGCTAAACAATATAACTGATAAAAAAACTACCCACCCTTCATCGTTGCAGCCGAATCAAAAAATTTGCTTGGTTCATCCTAAAAAGTTCAAATTCATCTTTTCTTCACCCTTCAGCGTAACAAAAATGCCAAGATGCACAACAATCTTCTTAACCCATCATTCATCGTTGCATCAATGCTCTCAACCCAAAATCTAACACCTTAGAATTCCAATCTCATCAGTAGTAAATTTTTTGGTTTCAAATCACGGTAATAAACACAGATCTAAGGTACCTATGATCGAGAAATCCATGATGCCACCGTCAAAACTCTGCAATGTTCGACGTACCTCACTCCGTCTCGAGCTTTCAACACCTCCAGCTCCACATTCTAGTCCGCCTGAAAAAAGCCCACTCCAAAGTCAGCATTCTTTTGACACCGCCACCACTCTCCGTAAATACAAATCATTGGCGTCTTGTCTCGCACTGTTGAGTTGTTGGATTCGCCGTCAATAGCCTTAACTCTGATCCAAACGGATTTTGTTGAATGAATTGATTCATCGTTGTATGCCCTAACAGCGCCATCAAGGTTGGTAGTCACGTGAGTCATAGAGGATGACTATTGAGGTTGGCGTGGGTGTGTGAGAAGAGAGAGAGAGAGAGAGAGAGAGAGAGAGAGAGAGAGAGAGAAATTTTTTTAGGGATTTTGAAAAGAATGATGCGTGGGTAGGTGTGTGGGGTGTGATTTTGGTTAAGGTGAATATGTAAATTAGATTTAATTAAAATTTTATTAATTACAATAATTTAAATTTAAATACTAACTGATTTGTGAAACAAAATTTAATGTTTTCTAAAAATTAATCTTTAAAGTTACATTTCTAGGTAATTTTTTCATTTATTATTAAATTAATTTATAATCCAATAATTTTTACAAAATGATTATTGCATTCCACGTGATCTTTATTGAGTATTTTTGTAAATTAAGATTAAGGTTGAATATGGTTCCATTTGGTTCTAATTTCAAGAGAATCGAATCAAATCATGAATCATTGGAACCATGAACCAATTATTTTTTTAAATTAAATTGAAGATATACATCCAAATCGAGTTGAACCATTTGATTCTAGTTTGGTTTTATTCGATTCTAGTTTCATTTCTCAAATTTTAAGACCTGCACCGTATAAGTTAATAATATATACCTAAAAAATAAACATCAAATATTCATCAAGTTCAAATTATCAATCATCAATATAAAAAAAGGTCTAAACTAATAAACAAAATATAATCATAGTTTGAATATACAAATCAATTTCCATTCCCTTACAAAAAAAATATTTGATAAGTAATAGCAATGAATCACTAAATTAGTTGCAGTGGTTTTGATGGCAAACCCCACAATAAATGATGAATTATGCAATATTTTTTCATCAAGTTCAAATTATCAATCATCAATATAAAAAAAGGTCTAAACTAATAAACAAAATATAATCATAGTTTGAATATACAAATCAATTTCCATTCCCTTACAAAAAAAATATTTGATAAGTAATAGCAATGAATCACTAAATTAGTTGCAGTGGTTTTGATGGCAAACCCCACAATAAATGATGAATTATGCAATATTTTACAGTTTACTTTTATAGGCAACTATTAACTGTTTAATACTTCGTGAATGTTATTGAATTTTCCTATATTTGTAAACAACATGAATAATTCATCAAACAATCAAGATAAAAAATTAGTTTAAAGACTTTAAGTGACTGACCAATTTCATTTTTCGATCTTAAAAGAGACACCTCCATTGACTTGATAAAATGCGATGTCAACGTGTCGTGATGTTGTGTAAATTGAAAAGGAGTGAAAGAGAAATGATTCAAATAAATACAAACCAAAACCAGAACCAAATAGTTATCGATTCAAAAAATAAAAATCATTAAATTTTTTTGATAGAATTGAATCGAATCGCTTAGTTTGATCTGAACATTTTGTCCACCCCTAATTAAGATGAGAATGATTACCAATTAATTATCAATTTACATTCCTATCGACTCTTGAATCACTTGAGAATTTTGAAAATGTCACTTGGAACATGCCCAAAATTATCTAAATTTATTGAAAATAAAACAAGCTTGAGTATGGTCCAATGCACATGCCATGTGACTTCCACTACCAAAATTTGCCGGCATCTTAACGAACCCATGCGGGTATGCCCCACCTTACACGTCAGAAATACAACATCTCTAATCGCCACAACTCTATAAATAACTCCACATCCCCCTCCCCGTCTCTCTTCACGTTCTCCTCATTTACAATAAGGCAGCGGCTTGGGCAACTCTCTCCGTAACCTCTCACCATAGTCTTTTTATATTTGCTCACCTGTTCTCTCTATATATACATAAACATACGTACATATACTGTATAACTACATCTTCAATGGCGCAACTCTGCTTGCACGTTCTCCTTTTAACGCTCTCAAGTTATCTTCTATCAGGTAAAAATAATTCCATTTCAGGTTGAAGAAAAATAATCAATTCAGCCTTTTAATCAGTATGAGTGGTTTTGTTACAGGAGTATATTCAGCGGCGACATTTACAATAGTAAATAAGTGTGAGTTCACAGTATGGCCAGGCATTTTATCAAACGCAGGAATCGCGCCACTTTCCACCACCGGTTTTTCTCTGCAAAAGGGTGAGGCCAGGACAATCGACGCACCTTCTGCATGGGGCGGCCGATTATGGGGTAGGACTCTCTGCAGCGAGGACTCTACCGGAAAATTCTCCTGCATCACAGGTGATTGTGGCTCCGGAAAAATGGAGTGCGTCGGAGGTGGTGCCACTCCACCAGCAACGCTGGCAGAGTTCACGCTCGACGGTTCCGGCGGAATGGACTTCTACGATGTCAGCCTGGTCGACGGCTACAACGTTCCGATGCTGGTGATACCACAGGGCGGTTCCGGAGCCAATTGCACGTCTACTGGATGCGTTGTGGATTTGAACGGGGTTTGTCCGTCGGAGCTCCGAGTGACAAGTAGCGACGGCGACAACGTCGCTTGCAAAAGCGCCTGCGAGGCCTTTGGGCAAGAGAAGTATTGTTGCAGCGGCGCGTACGCCACACCAGATACCTGCACGCCCTCGTCCTACTCGCAGATTTTCAAGAGCGCGTGCCCGCGCGCATACAGTTACGCCTATGATGATAAAACAAGCACGTTCACATGTGCCGGTGTCGATTATATCATAACGTTCTGTCCGGCACCAAACACGAGGTACATTTACGATAATCCCCATGAATGCTTACTTTCAGGCAGATTTTAACGAGGATAGTTTTGTCCATTTACTGACAATTCATAAAAGGCTGTCAATTCGAACGTTAGCCTGGCAATTCCAAAGTTAGTAACGGGAAAATTCTATATTAATTAATAGGGGCATTTTGATAAATTATTTGGAACAATTACAAAACTCAATCAATTATTTAGTATTGTATTATGTTATTATTTAATTCAACTTACGAAATGACAACTAATTGTCATGTAACCTAAACATTGTATGATACTATTTTCTATATTTAAATTTCTGACTAACAAAATTTATTTCGATACAGTCAAAAGAAATTGAACGGACAAATTCCAGGGTATGAAGAGAGTGACGGCACGATGGTATACGAAGGAGCATTGGATGCGAGCAGTGCACGACTAACATGTACTCCGCCATTGGCCTTGGCCGGAGCCGTCGCTATCCTGGCGGCAATGTGGTAGTTGCGTCGGCTCTTCTGACTTGCCTTTCAATCAACAACGTTTCAATTCCTTTTTCAAGATGGGCCCACCAATGTTGTCAGAATTTGGGTAATTTATCATGCGTGGACAGTTGAAAGTTTTGTGGCCCTTTCTCCATATATAGGCCCAAATAGATGACCCATGTGATGAGGAATTGTCGAGTTGAGTCACCAATGGGACAATTGGATAGGACACTATCAATGAAGTTGAGAAAGAGTGAATTTTTTTTTTGTTCTATCTAATATTTTTTAGTTTGATTTTTATTTTTAAATTAAGATTGGGGGTTGGGTGGGGGGGGGGGTTTCATTTGGTAGTTTAGTGACTAGTACATATTTATACTGTAGTTACTTAATGGTATTTGGTAATACAATAAGACGATTTTAGCTGCTTCTTTTTTTCTTTTCCTTCTTGATCCGTATGCACAACTTACTTTTTACATAGCAAACAAAGAGTAGGGTTTGATGGAGAAGTGATTGATTTGGTAATCTATGAGTTGATTAAGCAATAAAATAAGTGAATGTGCATAAAATAATGTTAAGTTCCAAATGATTAGATAATATAAACAAAGGACTGAAAAGGAAATACATAATACTCTTTGGATCTGTCAAACAAGTAAACAACTGCCGACTAAAGTACCTGTCTATTATATAATATATAATTTATGAGGAAAATAAATCTTGAACTGAAGGTAAACTATCTATTTTAATATAAAAATAATTAATTTTGATGTAATTCACGCACGGGAGTGGACCTTCAATTTGTGGCTTCGGTTGCGTGCACGTATTTAGCTTGCAAATTAAAAAAACAAAAAAACAAAAAACGAAGAAGTTGAACCTCAACCTTGAGGGCTTCTACCACCCTATCTCTAGAGTTTTGTGAGGGAGGTAAATTGCGGGATATGTCCTAACAGGTCAGGAAACAAGAGCTGTCTGTACACTATGTCTATATAAGGAGTCCAATTTCATGTCTCAGGAATCGAACCCCCCACACTGCGGCTACCAGCAAGGCGTAAGAAAACATTTAGCTTGCAAATTCTTTTTGCTTCTCAAAGTAGTCTCTTACATTCTTACTAGGATAGGAGGCTTCAAATTAATTTTAGACAAAATGAACCATTTATTTAGTCACTTCAATCAATTGTGAGTCTTGTAACATGGCATGAGAAAGTAAGGCATTCGAGTGATTCCATGGTTTCTATTGATCGATTAGAGGGCATATATCTTAACATGGTATCAAAACTCACTAAACTCCAACGAGCTATTCAATCCGATTAAGTCTCAAAAATGAGCACACGAATTTCAAGATTGATTTGCTCAAAAAGAGCCACCATCTTGTGAGGACATGTTAAGGGAATAAATCTCACACCGATTAATTATCGAAATATTGACCAACTTAAATAAATTTTGGATCACTCTTCTTAACAAAGTTGACCTTATTAAGATGGATTACAAATCTTAATCATTACGTCTAATTTTGATATTAAGCTGTCTAATCAAAGATGTTGATTCGTTTACTAGTTGACATTTGGCCAATAAAGAATTTTTATTTTCAAAGTCCATTAAGGTGTAGTGACAGTTCTAAGACACGAGAGACGAGGAAAGTTGGAAAGTCCTTCCTCTCATTTAGTTTCTTGATTTGTAAAGGTAAAGGATGTTCACGATCGGGTTGTTATTTCGGCTAGGCTTCTTTAGTAACTAGGTATTCTACCTTCCAACCTAAACGTGAAGCTCAAAAGATTGGTTCGTTGTGCGTCGACTTTACTAATAGTTGTTTTACAAGCTTAGAAATTTTTAACGACTGAACTTTTTGACATGTGGTGTGAAGAGGTATAACATTATTAAACTTTTCTAGACAAAAAGAGACCAATTACATATTGATAAGATTAGACAATACCATACACATAATTTATATGTTCCTTTTTCTTTTTTACACCTATGTAGTACCAATAAAGTTTAAATACAACTTACACTAAACAAACTAAAATTGAAGTTTGTTAAATTCACTCTAAACACTTTAGAGTAGAAGATATAATTAACAAATATGGATATTCTTTCCGCCATTCCATGAGATCAAAAAGGAAGAAGAAAATATGACTCGTAAAAGTCGAAATCCTCCCACAGTCTTAGTCACCATAGATATAGGAATTTGACGCGAATGGTGCATTGAAGATTAAATTTATCATCGCTTTCATAAAATCGTTTGATCACATAAAAAGGGACCATATCACTACATTTTTTATCATCCAACCATTCTTCACATCAGCCATATGTCCCATTTCTTTACACGTCATTATTTTGTACTTTGAATTTGAAATAAGCACGAGGAAATTAACCATCACAAGACAATTCTTCTGCTACACTTCTTTATGTAGCCAATGCGTAGAGCCAATCTAAGAAAATATATTGTCATATCTAATCCTATTCAATGTCATATGCAAACACATCATCATAGAGAAGAACTAAAAATCGTGTCATTACCAAATTGCAAATAAACATAAACAATAGAATTGGAGCCATTGAATAGAGTGACAAATAAGGATAGGATGATGACAGATGAAGGGAAAATGAGAGAGCAAACCATATCTTTTTTTTTTTTTTCTTGATAAAAAGGAGACAAAAGTATTGAATCCAAAAGCATGACTCTCTCTATCTCTCTCTCTCTCCTCTTTCTTTTTGATAAAGGAATAGGAAAGTGTAAGATAAAGAAAGAATCCACATACCATGCATGTTCCTGGTTGCTGGAAGAACAATCATAGAAAGAGCAAAGATTAAAGCTGATTTTGTTTTGAGTAAGTTTGCCCATAAAAAATTATCCTTTGCAACAAATATTATCTTTGTCAAAATCAAGAATTTTATATATTACAGAGTTGTCGATGCTCCTAATTCATAGTTATAAAATATTAAACGAAGGTATCTTAAACACTAAGAAACTCATGTAACTATTATCCCAATATTACATATCATCCTCTAAAATCACTACCAATCATGTATTTGATATTGAAATGCATCTCTTTGTACCTATTTAACATGCAATATTGACAAGATGGATAATTGGTACAAAACGTCCATATCTTTCAAGTCTATTGTGGAAAACATCTGTATCTTTCATTTTTTGACAGTTTTACTCTCATTTCAACTTTTCTTTGCGTTGGACATCCTTCCGTTCACATTCTGTCAGTTTCTCTGTTAATTAAATATAAAAATGTCTTTTTCTTTCAATAAACAAGGGTAAAATTGTCCTCACCCACCTAAACCCCTTTTTTCCGCTATCAACTTAATCCATAAATAACAGTAGCAACAATATGAATATGAAAATACTTTAAATGATTACGTTAAATAAAGAAAAAATGTCGTGAACAACATTATATTTCGCAATTCCACAACTACTGCTACTGTCATGTTGGGTTACTGGAAAATTTTAGAAACACATATATTGAATGAGTGGTCAATTTATAAAGATTAATACTGGATGTTCACTTCCAGTTTATGCTTATTAAGGGTGAAACCCACCGAGTAAATTGAGAAGAACGAGTAGAAATGAGTGCTGTGAAGTACGTATTATATTTCAATGGTGAATGACCCATTTTGGTTCAATGGAGAAGATGAACTGGTCATATTCACTTCTTCTAAGAATTGAATTAATCTTGTGATAATAGTCCCTATGTTGTTATAATTTTTCTGAAAATATCCCTACCTTTAAAATGTATTAGCAAGAAATGTCCCTATCTTTTAAACAATTTTGCGAATAATGTCCCAACCTTTCAAAATTTTGGTGAGAAAAGTCCCTGTTTTCTTCTATTTTCCTCCTATTTATGCACACAACAATTCAAACTCCGAATACACCAATTCCATCACAGAATCTCAAACCCAATTCATCGATCAATTAACCAACAAACTGAAGAAAAATGAGCACGTGCAATAAAACAATTCAAACAAAACTTTTCATTTCAAATGTGCAAAATATTCACTGTGCAGCCAATAAAAGTTCTGAACTTGCTTAATTCTGTCCAGTATTCAAAAACAGCAAAATGGGATGCTACATTATATCCACAAACTGAATTACACTACCTGTGCACTGAATGAACAAAAACAAAAGCTAACAAAATTAACAGGAGAACTTGGCTGGCAGCTTCATCTTAATGAGGTGCTGGAGGTGGTGTCCCTTTGCAGCCTCACCTATTGTGTTCTGCTTCAGCACATTTTGTACATGTCATTATCAGCCCCGATCTTTTCCGTTGACTTGCAGTTGTTTCTGAAGTTGATTGCGAAGTTCTGGCATTGCTCTTGGACTTTGTACACCTCTTCGGCTGACTTGAAGAAGCCATCTCATTTGGCTCTTTTATAGAAATGTAATCCTAATTGTATTGCTTGGTACAATCAAGGGCTGATATAGAGGGGATCGATCTAGACAGGTTCAATTCAATTTTCCTTATATATTTTATAATATTTGCTCAACATAAAAAAATAAAAAAATAAATAAATTCTAGTCTAGCTTAATTCTAGTGTACTCGTAATGCATTTTGAGACATATTAGCCACACTATAATTCAATGTATCAAACACACTGTTAAATTATTTTATTTAGAGTTTACAAACATAGTAAAGAAACAATTAATTATTTTACAAACAGTATAAATTGAATATGAGTTGCAAAAGTTGCAACCTTTATGAGTTTAAATTGGCTGCAAAAGCCCATTGCGTGAATGAAACTCTGCATAAGAGTAACTGAGTAAGGGACAACTTTGATGTAACTATCATGACAACCTTGCACTAAAGAATCTCATTTTATTAAGTATGACCCAATCATCCTACTAATTTATTGTGGGATCAATACCTAATTCCTAGTTCTGAAAATTACATTTTATAAATAACAAACTCACTAAAATATTTCAAAAATCAAGTGATAAATAAATTTATTAAATATTAAATTATAATATAATATACATTAATTATTTCCACCCCATGCCACCTCACCCCACTACACTATCTTCCCTTCACATTTCCATAAGAGATGGCCAGCGGCTCTGGTGATCGCTCAACGATTGCTCTAGCTTTGGTGATAGAAAAATTGAGAAAAATAAAAAAAATTCTCTCTGTACTCTACTGTTGAAAAATTTCCAAAAATTTATATGTGACCGTATTTATTGTTCGTGATTATGTTTGTGTTTTATGTGAGTATTTGTGATAAAACTTGTTTTCACTGTGACTGTATATGATCGTCTAATT